CAGCTGTAAAGGGTGGTAGGAAGAGCTTATTCCAGTGTATTTTTGAATGTCTCAGTCTTCTGCTACCGAATAACAACTATCTTCCTCACCCAAAACAGATGAGTGAGGAGACTTTCTAAAAGGGGTATTCATTATACAAATAACATATACTGCCAGGAACAGCTGCTTCTTGTTATTCATATGCCTATAGGAACTGCTGGTTTTAGCTGTTTTTAATGTAAAGTACCCAAATTATTCTGGGAGCAGAGATCAGATCCAAGATCTGCTCCATCTCTTCAGCAGGCCATGCAGTTACATGTCCTCCCTCCCCCCCCCGCCCAAGGTGCCTTAAAATTATTGGATTTAAATCTTCAGTCTCTGTCATTAGAGTTGGCGCTATGGCTGGAGACAGCGCAGTGTGCTAACATGCAAATGACATTTCCCACCCTTGGCTGTTAGAGCCACTGAATTAGTGTATGGGAGAGTTCTCAGCAACACATCACTAAAATGTCTGCTGCTGCTTGTTTTATGAAAACAAAGCAAAGCTCCTGGACTGGAGTCTACAAGCTAAAAAAAAAAAAAACACCTTGTTATTATGATCAAGGTCTCTGTCCTCAGGAAAAAGCCCATGACTTAAGTCATGTCTGTAGGGAATTGCCCACCAAATAGACTTACAGAAAGTAGTTCTGTACTTCCCAGAGAAATGTAGCAACAAAGAATAACTGTCTGACCTTAAGGAGAAAAGGGAATATGTGTTGGCTCTAATGGCAAGGATTCAGGACAGCTTTGAGTTGAAATGTTACTTGAAAGAATGTTTGGCAGTGATTAAAGTTGTATGCTGTAAAACAGCGTTTGTTGGTATGAATCATCCTGTTTCCAGAGCTGCTTAAAAAGAAAAAAAAAAAATCACACTATACTTGCAGAGAGTTGTCTGGGAAAGTATTTGTTAAAATTGTTTCTTAGGTAGTGTGTTCATGCTTTTAACAGTGAAAAGGAATTTGTGATATTTATAGATAAGATGTCCATACCCTATGCTGGGCTATTGAGAATCATCCTGAGAAATCAGTGGGTATGCTGCACTGTTGCTTTTGAGTTGTTGTGTTGCATGTCTAAGAATGGGACAACAGCAGGGAGGGAATGAAATGAGAGCTGGCAGTCTCTTTGGTAACAGCAGAGAGTGAGTAAGCCCTTGTTGCTTATCCCTATCTAGTTAATTAAATTAGACCACTGAGTTGGGACTTGTCTACGTAAAGATTTCTGGAGAGTTTCTAGTACCTATCTTGACCAGGCATTGATGGAGGTTGCTTCTCGCTCTAGCCGTTCAATTCACCTCATGTAGAGCACAGTTTTATGTCTAGATGCCATTTGTGCCTACTGGAAAGGGCCATGTCCTAGAAGGTTTTGCTATTGGGTGTGAGGACTGATAGAGAAGCAGAATGAAGGTAAGAGAAAGTCTAGGGGGGGGTGAGTCATACCAGCAAAAGTGCTCAAGGCACTGTGCACTGCACAGGTTATAAATATTTTGTATCAAACTGTTCCATAGTGTTTATGATAGCACAGGATCAGCATGGATGATCATTACTGTTGGGAGCACAGGACCAAAGCCTGTGCTGTGATAAATGCTGTTGCCCACAACAGAACCATCAGTTTACATCACCAGCAAATTCAACCCCTTTAGTTTTTCTGAGATAAATACTTCTTCTGAGACAGTCAGGCTTCTTACTAACTCGGACAACAACCACAAAGGCAAAGTGACAGCAAGCTGTGACTTGAGAAACACACATAAGCCCTCCAAATATGACACCTTCACTGGGTTTCATAATGTGTGCCATTGAGATGTTGTCTAATGCACAGGGTAACCAAGCAGGTATGTTATAGCTTATACACAACTTACTAGTTCTTCTTAGCACATAGCTATGCAGAACTTACTAGTTCTTCTCGACCGTGTTCATTTATACCTGGAAATATCCAGCTCAGAATTAGTGTTCAGCACACTTGTATTTATTAAACAATAATTTTTGTTAGAAATATGCTATGGATAGAGTATATATTCCTGCAATAATACAGTCATCAATTCTGACAGTGCCAACCATTTAGTGTTATAAAGATGAAAAGGATATAGAGGAAGGAGACTGAAGTTTGAAGAGAGGAAGAAAAACCTCAAATGAGTCTCTTGGATAGAAGCAGAAGTCCTTCCCTTTCCTTCCTTCTAATTTAGTGATAAATCATGCTTATTGCAGTTTTACTGTACTGCAATTGGTTGTTTTTTTTCTCTTGAAGTGAAAGAACAACCTCACATTCGAGCAAGCCACAATAGTGTTTGTGTTCTTGGCTGGAAGTACAGTTGCATATAAAGCATGAAAGTCTCAATTAGTCACCATCAAGTGGAAGATTAGAATGTGTTTGGCAGTATTTAGCGTACCTAGTTTTTCATGTTATGCATGCAAAATGAAAATCTCTGTCTTGTTACCTAAATCTACACAAAAGATTGACTGCAAAGCTGTATTTTCCAATTCAGCGATTAATAATCTATAATCGCTTCCGTTTAGAATCTGGACTTGTTGCTATTAAAGCCAATGGGAATTTTGCTGTTGAATTCAGTGGGGAGCTGAATGTCACCAGCTGGGGACTGCCACTTGGTAGTACGTAGCAGAAGTTTGACAAGCCTTCCAAGTGAATCATGTTTCTCAAATGTCTCTCAGCAATTAAAATACAAATTTTGTGATCAGTTAAAGTCATCCCTGCCTTTCTCCACCTAAAGACAGGGAATATAATTGGATCCTATTTCATTGAGATGTTATGAGTTCTGTAAAGATACAGGTAATGTCTACTTTAAAAAAAAAAAAAAAACAAAAAAACAGAAGCGAGAAGTTTATTCTGAAGGCAGAACCTTAAATGCAGCATTGATAACAAAGTCAGCAGTTATGAGTGTATTAGTAATTTATGAGATTACCCCACAGAGGGATTCTGCTGTACTTTATTATATCAGAACACGACATGCTTTGAATAATAATAATAAAAAAGATTAAAGCAGTAAAAAGCTTCTTTGTAATGTAACAGGCGCCTACACTGTGACTCTTATTGATGAGCTGATGAGGAGGAAGCAGTGTAATTATGTTTCACAAGCAGAGCAGAACAGTCCAGTCACTAAAACACTTTGAAATGAAAGCCTTTTGATTTTGTTCCACCAGAAGTATTTAATCAATAAAAGTAATGTTCTACTTTGTCTAAATAAATTAAATGAAGAATGATTAAATACTCCTAGGAAGAAAACAAACAAACTTCAGAGACAGAAGGATAAACACAGCAACAATTATCGCAAAACAGTTGTTGCATTTCACAGGCCTGGATTTGTACGTTTGTATGGTGGCAACGTAGGAGAGACTGACAATAAATAGCTTCTGTTAATGGCCACATCCACAAGGAATTTTTCTGTACAAAGACTGCAGAACCGAGTTTCCAGCCTTACTGAGTCAAACTGCATTATTTTTAGGGCATTAGTTTGATGGCATATTGTCTTCAGGCATAAAAGCTGCTTAAAAGGAAAGATTGCCAATGTGGTTAAAAGTTTAGCTGAGCCAGTTCCCACTTTTGCTCCTCAGCGCGACTACATCTGCTTACAAACTCTTACTGGTGCAAGTACTGCTGGCATACTCCAGCTCTGATTTTATTGCCATTGATCAACAACATTTTTCCTCAGGTGACAACTGTGAATTGCATGACAATATTCATTGCTTTCGGGAAAGGATTTACAACAGACAAAACATCATAAAACTTTACATCTCAGAAGTCCAAAGCTCCATACTGAAAACTCCTCCTCTTTGAATATTGCAAACGGGGAGGCGGGGGAGGCCTTTCACCTTTCAAACATCTAGATGAAGCTTTAAAACAGAGTTGTACTATTGTCAGTTTATTGCTTGAGAAACACAGGCCAGTTCAAAAAAACATTTCAAGTTAAATAAACGTTATTTGATGTGTCACATGGGTCTTGGTTCCTTCTAGGCTGCTAATTGCAAGCTACTGCGGAGGAACAACAGTTGAAGCAGACAGAGAAATACAGTAGTTCAGCTTTTTTTTTTTCTCCTAGGCAAAACAGTCTAATTTACCGTTTTTAATTTTGATACTTTTCTGAGAGTGATATTACTTCTTCAGACTCTTAAGACCAATGCTGTGCTAGTGACACCTTCGCTTTGTGGTGTTGATATCTCCAGCTCCTAACTGTGAGGTATAAAAAAAGAAAGGTATAGATGTAAGCCACGAGATGTTTTTTTAAATTTTCTTGTGAGTATAACTTTTAAATCATCTGACTCTTGGGCTTATCCATCACCTAAATAAATTCATTTTTCTATAGATCAACTTGGGAGCCTAAACTGCGGCAGTTCTAGAACAGGGACTTTCAAGAAACACGCGGTCAGCAGGCATTATTTAGGGAGGCATTTAGGATCTTACATTAACTGCAAAAAAAAAAATAATCCCACACTCTGATCCGAATACTCAGATCATCTAAAGAACTCAAACGCTGGGCATCTTGAGATCTCAAATTAACAGCCCCTTTTATATTTCAAATGGCCAAATTTTCCCAAAGTTAAGCATCCTTGCTAACAAACATCTTAGTGCAGTTTTGCATAATGAAAACTCAGAAGCGGGTTTATTTAAAACAAATGTTACGTATTGTGCGTTCCTGTCCTGCTGCATTATTTATATCTCCCTGCCTCCTTTACTCAGTGTGTACAAAAGGTCAAGTAGTGACGGGCCAGTACCGTATGCTTGCCAAGCATGGTGGATATGTATGGCTGGAGACTCAAGGAACGGTGATTTACAATACACGCAACCTACAGCCCCAGTGTATCGTCTGCGTCAACTATGTGCTGAGGTAAGTCATATGAGACAGAAAAAAAAAAAGCCACATATGGATTCATGTGCTGGAAGAAATGCACTTTTGAAGGGTCTGTTTATTGAGTGTTGTTATTCTGAAATCAGTTTAGTCATGTTTGTTCAGTCTTGTTTACTGATGTTAGACATCGATGAAAAATGCGGCATGCCCGTTCCCATACGTGCTGTCGAAATACCCCACAGCCTTTCTCTGCTGCAGAGCGGCTGCTCTCCTGATACTACAGAGTATAAAGCCTGCACTGCTAATACGCTTTGTTTTTCTAAGCCTGTGACAGAGAGATAAAATTAAGTAGCAATCGTATCTTATGCTGGTAGGAGAAGCCATTTTTTGCCTCAAAAATCAGGACCAATCAGGAGTTTAGCCTGTGTTTGGCAAAACTCAAGTACTTTTGGTCCTTGATGGGGCCAAAATAGGAAATACTTATTTGAGTGATAGTCTGGGTCATCATAGCCTCGACTACATCCCTTCAAAAAGCAGAGCAACAAAGCCCCGAGTATTTCCACAGGAGTCCTGTCCACACTCTCTGCGTCATCTGAGATGGTGGTGCTCAGCAACGCTGGAGCTGTGCCTCGCCTGTCGATCCTGGCATGCAACCAAGAGATGCCAAAACACTTGTACAGGCCCCAGCTTTAGAGCATTTGTGCTGTCTACATTACTCGCTTCTTTTTTTTTTTAGAGTGCAAAATTCCTAAAACCTATTTTCTTGTTAGTGAAATTGAGAAGAACGATGTTGTGTTCTCCATGGACCAAACGGAATCACTCTTCAAGCCTCATCTGCTGACGATGAACACCGCCTATGACAGCGGCATCCCCGGCACAGAGAAGAGCGACTTCTTGTTTACTAAGTTGAAGGAGGAACCAGAGGAACTTGCTCAGCTGGCACCAACACCCGGTGATGCCATTATTTCCCTGGATTTTGGTTAGTACTTGTATAAATAATTTTTCTGCAACAAAGAACCACATGTGAGCCTACATTTGGAAACTTTACAGGCAAGGTCTGTTTGCTGTGTGTACAAATCAGGAGTAATGGCTATAAGAGCCCACGTGCTCACACCAGTGGAAAATTTCTGTGAATGAGAGCAGAATCAGGCTTTCTTGCTGACTCAACAACATGCAGTAAGTCTATGCCAACTTATTGTCATGGCAACTAGGAGCAGTGTTTACTTTCAATGAATAGCTGCAATTATAACACAGGACGATCTAAAAGCATCCATTAATATTGTTAAAACTCTGCGCAGGGACGCAGAAGTTTGAGGAAGCTCCTGCCTTCAACAGTGCTGTTTTGACACCAAACAAAGCATGGCCAGTGGAAGCAAAAAGCCACGCTGCTCAAGGTGAAGCACTGACCATACCATCCTTTACAATGCCTCAGATTGCACCTGGCAACAGTACTCCAAGTGCAAGCAGCAACAGTAGCTGTTCCACGGTAAGAAGAGCTTTTAAAATAAAAAAAAAGTTATATTTTGTATGTAAGTCATATCAACATATGTAGATGATGATTTTGTGTTAGCAGTCCTGTCTCATTTCTTATTAACAAGGCCCAGTGTATCTATGCCCTTCCCATCCTGCGTACATCTTAAGCGTCAATAGCAAAAACATCAAATTGGAGCTATATCCTGCCTTTACATCGCCATCCTCATGTTCTCCCAGCTGTACCTCAGTAATTACGGTAACATATAGAACAACTAGTAGCAGAACGTGCTACCACCTTTCATGGAGTTAGCCTTAAGTAAAAAGCCAATGTGAAATGATGTAGTCACTAGCAACATCGCCCCGGACCCATATGGCCTCTTTCTGTTTGTTAACTAGAAGCTACAGTCTCTATTCCAGAAACTTTACCCAATTCAGGCTTTTGAGAGCAGCTCCATGGAGTTTCTCACTGAAAGAATGAATGTGCTTTCAGGGTATTGCCTCCAAGAGCGGGAGCCACTCTTAGCCAGCCTTTACAAGAGGATGTCAAATTTTAATAGAGACATTGAAGGCAGTGCTAAGCATCTCCCTTCTTTACACAAGTATTTAATAGTGTACATCTCATGCTGCTGGTCTGAGTTGACACACAAAACATTTTATTTAACTAAGGTGACAACTCTGTTCCTGTATTGGGTGCCTTTGTTAATCATGGAGCTCTCAAATTGTGTAGGGACAAGTAATTTGTGCTGGAGAAAAGCATATGGGAGGGAATGGCCTCAAGTTGAGCCAGGGGAAATTTAGGTTAGATATCAGGAAGAATTTCTTTACAGAGAGGGTTGTGAAGTATTGGAACAGGCTGCCCAGGGAGGTGGTGGAGTCCCCATCCCTGGAGGCGTTTAAAAACCACGTGGATTTGGTGTTGAGGAACATGGTTTAGAGACCCTGACAGTGCAGGGTGAATGGTTGGACTTGATGATCTTGAAGGTCTCTTTCACAGACGATTCTATGATTCTATATGCTAGAAGCAGAGAGTTTTGAGTTCTGAGGACTCCATGCACACAGCCTGGTATCATAGAAAGTTCCGTTACTGAATAGCACAGTCTAAACTGCATGATGCTAAGCCAGTACTGTGATTGCCTTGCTGCTTATGGCAAATTCTTATTTCTGTGCAGCCAAGCAGCCCAGGAGATTACTACAGCTCTGTGGATGAAGATTTTAAGATTGAGGTGATTGAAAAACTATTTGCCATGGACACAGAATCAAAAAGTCAGTGCAACTCCCAGGTAAGGAACGACTAATCGTCTCTTCCAAAAGCCATAAAAATCTGTCCCCTGCTAGCAGGTAGTACAGAAGCATGCTGGTTGTGCAGATGCAGTAACATACATGCAAACTGCATTTGCACATGTACTCCAAAACTTTGATGCACAACACTAACAAAAAAATACACCCTTTCAAAAGCTGAGATTTAAATGTCTATCCCTAACTCTCCCAAGCAAGTGCCTTAGGGTGTCACTGCGAAGGAGGGAGAAGAAGCAGAGATCTTGCAGAATTTGGACACTTCTGTAGACTGGATAAGGCATATAAGCGGCAGCATTTTTTTAAAATCTGGTCTAATGACTGGCAAGTAAACATCCTTTCTAGAACAAAATATAAATAAACTAATTCTTGCAAAACTTCAAAGTGAGAAAGTAATGCCCTTCATAGCACATGCCTCCTCTAACTACAAAACAAAAACTGTCATTCTGGATATATTCCTCTTGTCTTGCCTCTTGGAGGATTTCAGAGATGTCACAATTACTTGCACATAAAGTAACAAAGTATCAGTCTTTTGCATTCTGATCAGGGTGTAAGTGTAGAAATTCTCTCTATAAATAACTCTCTTAATCCTCCACTATTGAAACATTACATCAAGTGAATGAAAGGTGTAGGCCTGACTCAGCTCACCTAACTTTATGTACTTAATTCAAATGACTTTGTTGAGAGCTTATGTTTCTTAATAGTTAAGAGAAAGGAACACAAGCATTGCTGCCTGGCAGCTCAGACTTTACACTCCTCTCCTTCTATTAACCCTATGGAAAGTTTGGGGAGATTTACGCTCAAATGAGGTGCCTCAATTTACCAGTGCAATTTGCAGACTTAATGAGATACAGGTAGGCTGTATTCTGTACCCTGAAGAAATTTCATTTAATTTTGGACATAGAAACAGCAATGAAAGCAATAGAAGGAGTGGACAGATAGGAGGAAAATGTGGATCAGGCTCAAACTCGGTGCAAGACTTGACATGTGCAAACTTCAGTTTTGTCAGACTCAGCATCTGCTTGCACAGGTGTGTCCCACCACATCAGCAGGTTTGTCTGGTGGGAAAAATGAGTGTTTGAAAAGTGCCCCTGTCATGAGCTGACTGGTGGGCCAACATCCATTTCTGTCTCTGTTTAGCTCTGTCAAACGCCAAGAGAAATTAATTTAAATACGACTAGTTCTCCAAAGGAAGGAAAAAAAAAAAAGATATTTAAGTGCAATAGCATCCTTCCAACTAGATTTTTAAAAACCTTTTGCATTTTTAGACTTATTTTTTACATAACGTGTTGTGTTTTCTATTTTAGCATGAAAAAGCCTGAGGTTGAACAACATGCCACATGTTGTAGCTTCTTGGCAGACAAGTTATTCAAAGCTTAACGAAACACAAGATCTAGTTCGGATCACAGTGATGTTGCAGGCTGCATGCAAGCTGCTTTAGCAAATATTGCTCATGGGGAAGTTTTTGTCTTCAGTGTGTATCTGTCTTTGCTGCTGCTGATATGCTGAACATGTATGTTAGTTGTAGAAATAAAATATCTTTTAAATAAGAGCTGGCCAGTTTCATGTAGGTAAATTTGGCACACGTTTTTCAGCTTCACATCTACTTAGTATTTCATATCACACAAACTGCTACAACTCTTATTAACTTTTTGTTTCTTTATCAACTTCATTTTTGTGCAGACTGACTTCAATGAACTGGACCTTGAAACCTTGGCTCCTTACATTCCTATGGATGGAGAAGATTTCCAGCTCAGCCCAATCTGTCAAGAAGAACGTCCTCTCTCTGACAGTCCACAAAATACCCAGCAGAGTCTAAGTAGCATGAGTACCATTTTCCAACCCCTTGCTTCTGCTTCACAGAATCAGTTCCTCCCAGAGAAATATTGCCCACAGCTATCAAATAAAAACATTAACCCTGGTCCTGGGTCCCTGTCATCAGTGTGCTTCAGCAATGCGAGTAGGTCATCACTGCCACCGTACCATGACCAAGCCAGCACTCCCTTGTCTTCGATGGGAGGAAGACCAAACACCCAGTGGCCACCTGATCCCCCATTAGAATATGTTCCTGCTAAATGGAGACTCATGGATAAATACTCAGGATCCCTGTCAAGATCCACTTCAGGGCCACCAGTACATTCTCCCAGCATGCCCATATATAAAAAAAGGTAAGAGTTTTTCCAAGTATAACTATGTATTTTACTCAGAAAATATTCTGGAGAATGAAGAGGGTCATAATATTGATAAATTCTTCTTTTCTCAGTTCAGCTGGAATAGCTGTTTTGGTTAGGCATCAGACTGCACTTTTGGGGCAATTAGTGTGGTGCTCTCCCAGCAGCAGTCTAGGAGAAGCAGAAGTGGGCTAATTTTTTGCTGCCTGTAAGGATGCGTGAATGGATTTCCTGCTGGTCAGGTAAAAATTACCCAAGTGATTTTGCAAAGCCTGCTTGACTTTATGCAGTTAAAAAAAATTCTGAAAAGGCTTACTGGTCCAGCAGTAAGCTGAGACCCATGCATACTTTCTTATTTTGCACTTATATTTTGCACAACAGAAAATAGGGATGACAGTACATTTATTGCTGGCATGTGCAAATGTTACAACTAAGATTTAAAATTACAGGTTTCTTTTCCTACAGCACTTCTTTGCTGCTATCACTTTCTTACACATGTGAACAGTACAGGCTGAGATGCAGATCAGAAGCTACAGTCCTAGAAGTTTCCTATTGTAGCTAGAAGTTTCTCTGTAGCTCTTGGGTAGCGTGCAGAGTGTGGGTCTTCAGCACTGGTCATGCTAAAACATTCAGGAAGAACATAAAATAGCAAAGGTCATTTTAAAACATGAAGCTGTGCAATTTACCTGCAGTTTGCTTTCTGGGATTTCTTGTTGTTGGCAGAAATATCAGTGTCTGAATATGCATCTGGAAAGAGAGTGTTTGTCCCTAAACAGCAACCTCTGTGTTCATGTTTAGTATGCAAAGCAAGGGGTCAGGCGCGGCTCTCAAAATCCTGTCCTTAAAAATCACATGACTTTCTTTTCCACAGCATTTTTATGCCTGTCTGGAGATTCCTAGAGGCTGTTTGTGCTAGACTTTCCTTAGTCTTTGATCCCAAAAGTTAAAAGTTTCCAAAGCTTGTGGGATGACTAACAAAATGAAATAAAAACATTTGTTTGAGGTCTGTCCACTGCCATGTGTCAAAGACTCCTTAAATGACAGAGGAATCTGTATAAGTGAGCAAGATGGTTTAGATTTGCCTCCCTGCTCACTCACCCAGAGATCTTTTTTCCACAGGCCCCTGGATGCATTTGGGCAACGAGGCATAGATATAAACCCAGCAAGAATTGCTCTGTCTAACAGTTTGAAACTGAAGCGACAACTGGATTATGAAGAACAAGCGTTGCAACAGCTGAGTGGGGTAATCATAAGACATGCATCCCCTTCACAGCTTTGGACTCGCCGTGGTCATCGGTGTAATTCTTTGGTTTGCTTTTCTTCACGTTCTAGGGAGATCCATCTGTCATTAACCCATCTCACCTAATGTGGAAGAGAATGAAATTTCTCAAAGGGGAAAACTGTTCCTTGGTTACAGAAAAGAAGTCTCTCAGTACAACTGTTCTTACTGGTAAGACAAAAGAAAGTGGTTTTGCAATGTTAAGTATTGAAACACAATTTTAAGACAGGTTGAAGAGAAACAAAAACTCTTTCGAAAGAAAATGTAAATAAGCTCTGTAAATATTACACTAAGCTAAAATTAAAGATCAGGTTGTATCACTAAGAGCTGAACAATTTAAGGTACATTTGATAACTACCAGGTAGATGGTTTCCTGCATGTTCACACCCTTGCTTTGGTGGTAACACAGATCAGCTTAATGGAGATGGATTTACCTCATGCTGATCCAAGGCGTGGACATCGCAGAGCTAGAACTGATACTTTCTCTCTCTACAACATTGTGTTTCCTTGCACAAGCATATCTTGGGTGCAATACTACTTCTAGAGCTAGTGCTGTTTCTGGACTTCCTTTCTGACAAGTTGTAGGTATGCCTACAGCATGAGGAATACTTAGCTTTGAATAATTATTATCTACTATATTTACTACACTGTCTTAATTTAACTTTTTTTTTCCCCCTACTATGTAAATCAGATGAATTTGTCTGTAACTCAAGAGGTCTGAGCCAACCAGTGAATCTACTGCAGCAGCAGCAACAGCAGCAGCAACAACCCACCTGTGGCAGTCCTGGTGAAAATCTGAAAGCAGGAGCATTTCCCCCTCCGTTTTACAGTTCCCATTATCAGGACTATACAGCCCAGCCAGCTCATAAAGCATCAGGTACGAGCTGTCAAATACAGAAATTGGAAAGAATTGGTATTTTGTTCCAGTACTGATTCCATGAAAGGAGACACTTAAAATAATATGGAGGAGGATGATAAAGCAAGAACCAAATATGTATTGCTTCGGAGAATGAAAAATTAGTTCTGTTGTTTAGTGCGAAACTTTAACGTTTACATTTGTAATATAAGAGGAAAAATTATTCTTGCCCTTTGTTTCAATTAAAGTTCATACATTTTGACCTTGGAGGGCCAGTCATCTTCCATCCATACCCTTGTCTTGTGATGGAATTGATTAAATTGTACTGAACAACTTCACTGCAGCATTGATAGGGGAGGTTTGTAGGTTAGAGTCTTAACACGTGCCTTCTAAAAGTTCAAATAAGTCATTAAAAGGGACCTATATATGTGCGTTTTACTATAGAAGGGGAGTAGCTGTCAATTTAGAAACTGTTGCTTTCTACAGCTTCCCTCACCTGTACCAATATCATTTTTCTCAGAACAATCTATCTAAATTGAGGGTGGAGGTGAAAAACTGCGCCTGTCCATGTGGCATGCTTGCAACAGTGGAAGGCAGAGTGATCCATAGGTGTGCTCTGAAACCTGTAACTGCTGGTGGTCTGAGGCGTATTGACAGAAACACAAAATGAAATTGTAACTGCTATAAATGGAAGAGGGAGGAGAAGAGGGAAGAGGGAGGAGAAGAGAAGTCCTCTCTCTGTCTCTCTGGTCGCAGCACCGTGACTGACTTCGCTGATCTCTTCCAGGTATGGCCAGTCGTCTGCTGGGGCCGTCCTTTGAACCCTACTTGTTGCCCGAGTTGACGAGATATGACTGTGAGGTGAATGTCCCTGTTTTGGGCAGCTCTACCCTTCTGCAAGGCAGTGAACTGCTCAGAGCGCTGGACCAGGCAACTTGAGCGATCCTGCAAATATTCCGTGGCCTATACTGTTCAAAACAGCTTCAGTTTTTAAATATATTTTTGCAAGTAGACAATTTCTAATACCAATACACTTTTGCAAGATTTTATTTAGATATTGAACCTGTCCACATTACCAAATAGTGGCCTTTTGAAGTTACTCACTTTATTATTCATATTAAAGAAATACATCTACTGTATTTTCTCTATTGCAATTAAAGTGTTGTTTAGAGAGTTTGATTACCCTCCCCTTATCTCATTACCTATAATTTATACTCTGAAATTTTCTTCAAATTTCATGCTAATAAAAAGCTGTGGTGGTATAAATGCCTCGTCACGTGATAACTTTGGCTGCAGTACTGCAAAGATTTATTTTTATTGCCAAAGATGAATGAAACAAATTTGATCTCCAACCACAGTTTTTTGTTGATCTGCCAAATTGAAATCCTTTGAGTCTTTCTGTTTTCCAGCATTTATCGTATTGTAACTTTAATAACTTTTGGAAAAGTATACTAAGGAAAAATCCCAGCCTTCTGCCTCCCCCTCCTCCCTTCATTTTTTATACACTTTGTTGAAAGAAATGTGAATGGTGAACTGCAATGTTTGTGGGTATCTGTGAAAGTTGCACGTTGTAAGCTTTTTTCCTCAGAAGCAAGCCACGCTCTCAGCTGCCTTAACCTGGCTTAGCTCTACCGCCAACGGAGTCCTGCAGATTTGCCCCAGTGGAGGATTTAGACCTGTGTTTTCATTTGTGTTGGGGTTTCTTGTTTTGGTTTGTTTTTTGAATTCGTTATTTGTTGTTGTTTTTTGTTTGGGGTTTGGTTTTTTTTTTTTTTTTTACAAACCAATTATATTTTAAAAATTTCTCTCTGGGTCAGTTGTTAATCATCTCTTGGTACTTCTGCTATATCTAGGACACAACAACTTTAAGAGCTGTTTCTGCTAGAACTAGTAGTATTCGTTATAGTGTTGTTGATATTTCAGGAATCTGACCAGCAGCCAGTACTAACACCTCTCATTAATGTTAGGTTTTTTCATTCTGTATGCTAGCTAGCACTATAATTGCAATATTGAATCATTAAAACTAAAAGTTAAAGTAGTATTTCCCAGCGTATTAGGCTAACTCAGTTATAAGCAGACAAAAACATTTAAGGATGGTGTAGTGAGATGAATAGCTGGCAGGCAGGTCTCATAATTTTTACTTGCTTTACACTAATCAGTAGCTGAAATGTCATTAAAAGGCAGCCAGACGTTTTCAGAGCTCCTTTCCAACTATCATTAGCCGTCATGCACGTATTTTAAAAAATAAGGCTTTGAATGCTTTCAGAGGCAAAGGGATTTAAAAGTTTAATATTTTTGCTGTTTAAATATGTTGTAATTAAAAGTCATAAAAGGCAGGTGAGCAGTTCTGACTTTAAAATACATACAGACCTAGATATATGTTGGGATATATCACCTTGTTTCCTCCACTGGTATAAATCACCGTAGCTTCACTGAAGAAAATGGAACAGTAGCAATGTACAAAAGGTAAAAAATCTGGCCCAGAAACTTAGAACACAGCTATATTCTTTTGGGACTTCTGATTCTGCTGGGGCCTGGTATACAGAATTGCTTTATATCATGCACTGACACTTGCAGAGAGGGAGCCTTGGGTTCCTTGAGCACTTCAGAGTTTGCTGTCTTAAGTGAGTCTTAACCACACGTACTTAAAAAAGCTGAAGATCTTTTGCTATTGGTACATGCTGTAAAAAAAAATATAGTCCCTATTGTAGGCAATCTTTCAAGAGTTTATTACCAAAAATAATCCACTCCTAAAGCGAAGTTAACAGCGTGTGGAAAAAAATATATCATAAGTATCAAAATTTGATGAAAAATTGGCAAGCCAGATTTGACAAATTTGCAGTGGCAAGGACTTAAAGGCTTCAAGGATTAAAGACACTTGAATACTGCTCTTCTGTTTCTTATTTGTGTAGTTTTCAGCATTAAAAATGTTATACCCTAACAGTTTACTAAAACACTCTGAAAAAATATTCCATGTCTTAATATTAATCATACTTTTTATCATAATTATTTCATAATCTATATTGCTGAATTCTTATTGACAATATTATAACTGTATGGGAACTTTAACTTGATAAGGAAATGTATTTTGACACTGATACCTTATTAAAGTATACTGATCCTAAATTCTTTGTGACTCATTTGCTATGAATTTGTTATTTGTTGTATCATTGTAAAACAAAAGTATTTATTAAATTATTTATAGAAAATAAAGGTTTGCATTGATCTTTGAAGAATGAAAGAACAAACAAAAGTTACTCGTATGCGAGAGCTGAGAAGTAGCCTGCCAAAGGTCCGTACCACCAACCTTTTCGTAGAGTTTACCAGCTTTCCTCAAATGGAGGATTAATGCCCTGCAGACCGCCCTCCTGAAACATGTCCTATCGTTCAGGCTGCTGCTTCCATTTCAAAAGTGTATTTTTGTCTGAGGAGCTGAAGATGCCTCTTGTAGTGCTACCCTAAAAAGACAAAGACAGTTGCAGTTGACAGAATGACATTTTAGAAGCTGAAATGCCACAGCTCTGCACTTCAGTTTTTGTGGCAGTAACATAAGCCCATCATATTCTGGCAGTCCTGACAACCCCATGAATAACAGGCTTCCCCCTCCAAGCCTCTGCTTCACCCTCCAGTCCTTTATCCCAATGCTGCTGTCTGTTAAATGTGCCAATCCTTTCCCGTATAGAAATTGCCAGTTCTGCCTGTGTAATACCACTGACCGTGCTGTAGGAGGGCAGACACATTAAGAAATTAATTTCCAGACATGCACTTAAATTTAGACTGGACTGTGTGGAAGCTGTTGGTGCTTGGCTCTTCCACTACCTGCCTTTGAAACATGCAGTGCTTGTACAGACACCATGGAGCTTCTCAGACAATAGCGAATTTTTGGAATAACCTGCACCAGTGGACTATCATCGCTTCCTTTTAGAGATGGGATGCTCAGCAGATGCAGAAGGTAACTCCTTGCTTCTAAATCTGTTGTAATGAACAGTAATCACACAACACCCAGCAGTGATGAGCTAATGGTAGTGTGCCTGTTACCCTCCCTCTTAAAGCATTTCATTGATCTCCATGGCACTTGGACAAAGACTAACCATGTCAGAGCCTTATCCAACTGAGGGTTAAAAAAAAAGCCAACCTCTTAAGTAGAGATTAACCTATTCAGATCAATTTCTTGCTTTTAAAAGGTTGTCATCACTGGCTGCTACTCTACAATTGCTGCCAGGGTCTACTTTTTGGGGTATCCCACTCTAATTTTGAAGAGTTTCAAGCATTCACCACTTCCATATTCAAGTAGCTTAAGGAACACACTAGTAGTGTCTTCAGCTTTACCCCAGCCAACAACACCACCCCCCTCCCCCCCAGCTAAACACTTCTCATGTTAGTGAGTTTTAGTGGTTTTTCCCTGATGCATATGAATGTCCTGGATAGCGAAGCTCTGACATTTCAATTTGTGTACCCAAAAGAACAAAATCCTGGCCGGAAACATAATAACTAGATTGCACAATAGCTGAGCATTGTGCTGCTGAACAGGGGTTTATTACAGCTTTTTTAAAAC